GGAATGACTATTTCTGACGTATTAGTTGTTGTCGGCCAGCCACATCTAACCGTAGGTTTCGCTACCCTCGAGGCTCGAAAACGCGACCTGTTGTTTAAAAGTCAAATGTCCTAACTACTGCGCTTTGTATTGTCTATTACACAGTTATTTAGAACAGCAATTGCGCTAGTATCTTCTTCACGGCGCAGTATGTATGTGATTATTGCTAAATTTCACAGAACCCTAGATAGTTCACATGCTCTTGCCAATATGTTATCCGACAGCCAAGATGGACTATTAAAGCGTTGTGGAAAACACTGCAAATGACCGAGAAAAACAGATAACCGTTTCATAGGAGAATGAGAAATCTGTGAGTTTGTCATTCTTGTGACCAAGTTAGGGAATGTCGCCAACTAAGTGTATGCTCTGATACTTTGCGAAATGTCCGTGAACTTTAATCCAGCATTTAAATCCATATGCATTTGTAACGTTAGGCTATCCATTGGCGATTGCCGGATAATTGTTGTACGTAATCCCTTTTTGTTGGTAATGTTCTTTTTGCAGGAGACAATTTTTCTTCGAATTTATAGTTGTGAAATTTACAGTTTGCCCCAATTTTCAAAAGGGTCAAAACCTCAGTCCAAACCACCTCAGTCGTCTTTCTTGGATGGCCTGAGATATCCTTGCGATGTTGTCGCAAAGAGTGTGGACTGTCTCATTTGACACGAAATCGGTGTACTTCACTCGAAGGATGATCCTCAAGCAGTAGTGGTCAAATCCCTCAATTTTCCGTTCACCTTCCGTGCGTATAGCCTAGCATTCGCAGTCGTGTAGAAGCACAGACTGTACAGATGCACGGTACACGCGGAGCTTTGTGGTAATAGAAATGTCGGCAGCCTAGTTGCTGGCTACCCGGCGCGTCCACAGGTGGCAAATAGTGGAACAACCTTCAGTGAAGGTTAACTGTGAGGTAAGCTGACTCTCGGGTTGGGCTAATAAGCAGTTGTGGACCAGCAGCGGCAGTGCTACCAGGGCCTGATGGCTGAGGTCTGGCAAGCCAAAAGTCTACAACGTGTCGCAAGGCTTGACGACGGCACGGTGATATAGCGAGTATGAACCATTAAATAAGTTTGCTTCCACCGCTGCCTTGTGGTTAGGCTATTGAGCCAAAACGCTAGAGAAGAGAACCTCGAACAAACAATCCGAGCGGTTTTTGGAGACGCGTCCGTACTCACCATTCCTAAGACACCTCATTAAAAGCTATGTCCAATAACTACGATGCGGGGTATACGCACTAAGTGCCATTTGTTTGACCTTATGTTATCGGTTAATTTTGTATTTGTTAAATTGGTGTTTTTGACAGAAAAGCAGTTGGACATTAACATGGAAACCCAGCACTTCCGCCTGGAAACTGAGCGCCTTCGTGCTGAAAATAAAAGCCTACTGAACAAATTGGATGACACCCGGAAGGCCCTCAAGAAGCAGGATGACCTTATCGCCGCAAATCAGGTTCTTCATAAGCAAATGGAACTACACGCTGGTCGTCTTGCCGAAGCGCATTCTCAAGGCAAGTACCAGCATAGTAGTCTTCTAAAAAGTGTTAATTTTAGTATCAGCGGTTCTGCATTATAGGTGTATTCGCCACCTGTCTGTGATGACACCGACAATAATCTGTTCAGTTGGTTTGATGACAAAAATGTTTGTGGTCTTACCGTACCAAATTAGAAACAAGTGTTTCTATCTCGACGTTTTATGTGCTTGATTCAGATGCAAGTGTGTACACCCTTTTTCCAGTTTCAGTATGTTTTTAAGCCTTCCATTTTTGAGTATTCCTTGTACAATAACAGTACTTATGTCCTGGACCATTAACAATAATTTCCAGTTTTAGTGTGAAATGTTTAGAAAAGGAAACAAAAGGATGAGGCTTCGTGTAGGCTGAAAAATATCTTGTAAAACTACCTCGCAGTTCATGTTAATGTACAAAGGCTGTGTAGGTGAAGCGTTTAAAAAAGCTTTTTCAAAACAACGCGTTTTCAAAGTGTAAGCAAATGGTACCGGTATGGTTAAAATCTTTCCGATGCATTAAACGCCCGCATACTTGACCAGTTTTTCTTGAACATGAAGCAGAATGTATTAGTAGAACTTGCCTAGGACTTTGTTTTTATAAAGCTCGAAGTCGCGACTCAAAAGCTTTGTGTCAGTGCTGTTTCCGTTTCTCAAAAATGGCCAATTTCTAAATTTACCAGAAGGCCATAAGTAAAGCAACGTTTTGCATAAAGTTCCCATAACCAAAATATTGGTAAACATGTCAGGTGCCTCAGCCGTCCCATATTCATAAAACCTCTCGGTTTCAATTAGAAATTTTCGCAGGGGAAATATATTTTTTCCTAAATCGGCGTAATCGAAGCTCTGTATTTCCAAAACAAACTTTCTATTCCATCTTTTTGCAGGACTTGACATCAGGTTGTACATCCTCATCTGTTGGTCGTGCTCTTGTCCCCTGACAACAGTATTTTTCCCTTGATCCTTCCTTTTTTGTTTGCTATGATAAGCAGGAACGTTGCAATGGCTCTACACAGCTCTACATAGCTCTACGCTTTTGGCCTTTTGTCCTTCCACCACGTTTCGTTGAGATTTTCTCCACAATAGTTTTTATTTCCAGAAAACAGTGTGGGTTTAGGCACCTACTTTGCAAAGAAGGCTTGCTTTCAGTCACAGTTTATTTTGTTTTCGAGACTATATAAATATTTCTGAATATCTACCTTGTAGGACAAATCAGCTACAAACAAAGTTATTCAACAGTTTTTAAAGGTGATATCTTTTAGGTAAAGCTGGCGATCAAGTCCACACGCGGGTTTTTAGTAAGTAGCGTTCTTGAAAAGCCTACTAGACGAGTACTGACAAAAGGTGGGATACCGAGATAAGTGCTCTTGCCGGCTGTGGCCAGCTGTACATACAGCCTAGTGGAGAAGATCTGAAATCTGGAACCGGCTCAATTAATCATCCAGTATTTGAACCCACCGCTCTAGCACGGTTGCACTTTCGTCTGTATTCAGATGGAATCGCACAGCAGGGAACTTCACATTACATGCCGGACTGTGGTAATTCGACCGTCGCGAAGAAACGACGAGGTCCACCGCTTCCTTTAGAGGTTAACCGAACACTGACTTGCGCCTGAAGCTGCCTATAGTGACGTTGGCTTATGCTAACTCTGTTCCTCACAGCTGCCATGCGCACGCCGAGATGATCGCAGTTTATGTGTGGGCCCGCTGGCTGGCTAAACGAAACAGTTTAACAACACACATCCAGTCGCGTCTCCTTACTCCGTCTCTTGGTGCTAAACCAAATTACATGGTTTTAACACACAAAATGTATATACATTCTTAAATGTGGCTTTTCTTTCGTCATCCCAATGTTGGCAAATAGCATCACGTGATTTTTCTCAGAGCATGTGTGATTCGCTGTTGGTAGTTGTCCTATTGGCCGGATCTGAAGGTGTCCTGTGAAACTAATCCATGTTCTGAATATCCGTCGACAGTGTGGACATTATGGCAGGAATTGGGTGCTTGCATCCAGGGCCTGCGTCACGGCAGTCTTCGGAGACTTTTGGTTCGTCGTCGTCGCAGCTATTCGGTTAACTTTACGGAGGACCACTCCAGGTCTAACGGCCTACAGGTCGTGTGCCCGACCTTCCCGGGCTTCGAGCTGAATTTTCCTATAGCGTAGTATTTGTGTAGTCACTTGTCAGCCCTGTCTGCCCGCATCACTTGCGACTTCGTAGTAGAATGATCGCGTGTGTATGCGTAGTCAGGAGGGGCTGCTCTGTCATAGAAGAAAACAGATGGAGAGGAGAAGA